CCTGACAACAACAACAACATCAGGATTGGAGGCAGAAGTTCATTAACAACCTGCAATACACAGATGATACAACTTTGTTGAAAATGAAAAGGACTTAAAAGACTTTCTGATGAAGATCAAAATTGCAGTCTTCAATATGGTTTATACCTTAACACAAAGAAAACAAAATTCACAACTAGACAGTAAGCAACATCATGATAAATGAAAAAACGATTGAAGTTGTCAAGGATTTCATTTTACTTGGATATATAATCAATGCCCATGGAAACAGCAGTCCAGAGATCAACTGATGTATTGTATTAGGCATATCTGCTGGAAAAGACCACTTTAAAATGTATTTTCAGTTGTCTCATCTGCATGCAAAAAAAGGACAATGAATAAGGAAGACCCAAGAAAATTAATGCCTTTGAATTACAGGGTTGACAAAGAATCTTAGATATGTTATGGACTGCAGGCAGAACAAACAAATACAATGTCTTAGAATAAGTACAACTAGAATGTTCCTTAGAAGGGAGAATGGTGAGATTTCATCTGTATTTTGGACATACTATCAGAAGGAGCCAGTTCCTGGAGAAAGACATCATGCTTGGTAAGGTAGAGGGTCAGTGAAAAAGAGGAAGACCCTGAACAAAGTGGACTGGCATAGTGACTGCAACAGTGGTCTCTGACCGGGCAATAGTTGTGAGAATTGTGCAGGACTGGGCAGTGTTTCTGTTGTATGTAGTGTCGCTTTGAGTTGGAACCAACTCAAGTGCACCTGACAACAACAATATATAGTCAGTGAAGATAAATAAAACAGGATAAGGGAATTGAGAACATAAAACCAAGTAAATGAAAGGGTGGTAGTTATTATACATAGTGTGGTCAGGGAATGACTCACTGCTATGATGGCATTTGAGAAGAGAAGTGAGAAAGTGTGGGCTGCTGATTCTTGAATTAAGATTATCCTATGCAGAGGCAAGAACAGGTGTAATGGCAACGAAGTACTTGTGTCAACAACGGCCAGTGTGGCTGGAGAGCAATGCCTGAACAGAGTGGTAGGAGATGAAATCATGACGAGATGTTGGGAAGTGGCGGGCACAGGCGAGTTCAGGGACAGCCTTGTGAATCACTGTAAAGACTTTGGCTTCTACTCAAGTGAGATAGGAAGCTAGTGGAAGCATTTTGAAAGAGGAGTGACATATTCAAACACGCTCTTTAAATGATTGCTCTGGAAGGATACAGATGCAAAAAGAGAGACCAGAGAAGAGATTATAATGTTGTTTAAACCAGAGTGGTATCTGAGGAAAATGAGAGAAGTAATGGGATTCTAGATATATTCTGAAGGCAAAGCTGAAATAATATGCTAATGGATTAGATATAGGATGGGAAAGAAAGATCAAAATGAAAGATGACTCCAGGACTTTTAGCTGAGAAACTGGAATAGACATTTTGAGGGAATTGAGATAGGAAACAGACTTGAAATCAAAAATAAGCAAGAACATAGCATTATGAAAAATGTTGATGTACTTTTACTTTTTTTCCTAATCTTTGAAAAATGATGTGTTCTACATTTTTGGCAAATCTCAGTCAGACTAGCCAGACTTCAAATGCTCAAGAACTACACATTTCTGTGGCAACAGACTGGATAGCACCAGGCAAACTCTGACTTCTTAGCTTTGGTAATTCTTAGAGAAGATTCTTACCAGTTAACATCTTAGAAAAGTCTCAGTGTATAAGAGACTTCAGAATCAGAATCTCTAAACAAGCTGTAAGAGGCAGTGATGTAGACAGATTGAGCAGTCATGCAAGCTGACTAGATGTATGAAGGAGATTTAAAAAATTGATGGAAAAGTTTCATTATCTTTTCATTTCTTTTTTTTTTTTTCATGAACTGTTGAAACTCCCTTGTATGTTCACCACCCAGCTCTGCTTCTTTCTATGCCCTTGACAGGCTAGCTAGTCAAAATTGTTTTCTTTTTGCAGTAAAGAAAACTGTATCAATCCTTCTAAGTATTGCTCTAAGGATTATGTACACAAAGCTTTTAGCACATTGCCTGCAAATCATTTCTCCAAGTGTGAACTGCTGACAATCATGTTTTATCCCAAGAAATAAAACAGGGGGTTATTCAAATTCTAGTTGCTTCTATATAGGATGTTTGCTACAAAATCATAGAAGCTTATATTAAACAAAAATATCAAAATGTGAAGCTATTGTTTCTCCCCATATCTCCCATCTACCTTTATTACTTCCTCCTGAACACTTTTTTAACTCCTACAGTTGGGTTCAGATTCCCTTTATATTTTCCCATATTAGCACTTACTAAACTATATTGTTCAAGGAGCTCTGGTAGCGTAGTGGTTACGAGTAGGGCTGCCAACCTCAAGGTCAGCAATTTGAAACTACCAGCGGTTCCCTGGGAGAAAGATGAGGCTCTTTGTTCCTGTAAAAATTTGCAGCCTAAGAAACCCTGTGTAGGGTCACTGTGAGTCAGAACCGACTCCACAGTACTTAATATGTGTGAACTGGAACCCTAATAGCAATATTTTTAAACTTATACTTGTATACAGATGTACAAGTATATACACACAAGTATTTACGGAGGAATCCTGGTACCAGACTAAGTAACCAGACTGCTAACCAAGATTGATGGTTCAACCCACCAGCCACTCCTCAGAAACCCTATACAAGGGCACTATTGAGTGGGAACTGCCTCAACAGCAATTAACATTACGTGTTTAAATGCATTTGCTAATGCTAATGAGTACTTAAGTGTGCTTCTAAAGCGGTTGTTTCTTCTCTCATTGATATGATGTGTCCACTATAATCAGATATACCTCAGCCCCTAGAACAGTGCCTGGCACATGGCAGGTCCTCAATAATTTTATTAAATGATTATTTGGTTGCAGAATTCCTGAACAACAATCATAAGAGAACCATTAAAATATTATTTAGTCAATTATGGTTATTTTCTTGTTTGTAACGTTATGAATAGCTTAAATTGTTTTCTTTTCATTAGAATAGTCTCTACCAGAAACTAAGATTCTTGAGTCAGTACAAAGTTCCAATTGTGTCAACAAGCTTCAGTCACTGGTACTAGATATGCCTTAGGAGTAACTTCCCATGTAAGTTACTAGAAAAGAATCTCAACATAGCTTGCTCAAAGCCATCCCAGAATTTCAGTTCATAATTATTAAAACTCATCACTAACTTGCTATAAAGTTAAAGAAATGAACACACCACTAGTATGAGCACAAACACATTTATTTACTAATCAAAGGGATGATCCTAATTAAACCAACACTTTGAAACAATTGCATGTAAATGTCTGTGTGAGAAATAATTGAACACAATAATGAAAAAAACAAAAACAAAAAAAGCAGTGTGGAGATTTGCTCATTGAACTGAGCTTGTTCATTCTCACAGCTAATTACTATTCAAAGTAAAGATGGAATTTTTATTCTACTTTTTCGTAGGTCCGAGTACAGGTGACATTGTTCATAACACATTCCTAGAAGAAAAAAAACAATAACAGGTTACTCTTGTTCCCCATAGCAATGGTGCTAGTAAAATGTTAGAACCAGAGTTTCATGAAACATTATAATCTAATTCATATCTGGAGAAAATCTGTTTTAAGATTCTTGAGTTTGGAGAGAAGATAGAGTCTGTTGAATTGGCTCTAACACAGTTGTTAGTTTCTGTCAAGAACTTCCCCGACTCATGGTGATCCCATGAACAATGGTGCAAAACACTGCCTGGTTTCTGCACCAACCCCATGATCAGTTTCAAATCAGATCATTGGGATCCATAGGTTTTCATTGGCTGACCTTTGAAATGATTACCAGGCCTTTCTTCTGAATCCCTATTTAGTTTGGAAGCTCTGCTGAAAATCTGTTCAGCGTAATAGCAACACATAAGCCCTCTCAGACATACAGGTGGTGGCTGCAATGAGACGCACTAACTAGAAATCGAATCCTGATCTCACATGGAAGGATGTAAGCCATCACTGCCACTAAAAAGGATTGACAATAATTTCGATTTATTCATTTGGTTCTCCATGTTAAGAGATGGAATAAAGGGTAGTTTGGTGGCATGCTTAAAACTGTAGTTATCAGGTTGTAACAGAGCAAAGACTAAACCTGGCTCCAGCTATAGTCCCTGTCCCATCATGTCACTTTCCTGTCATCATGTTATTAAGTGCTGTCGAGTTGGTTCCGATTCACAGTGACCCTGTACAGGGTTTGAGGAGCAGCTATGGGTTTGAACTGCTGACCTTGTGGTTCATAGCCCAGTGCTTAATCCTGTAGAGCCACACCAGGAGCCCATAAAGAGCGTTTATAAGAATTCTTATTGTTAAGTGCCATTGAGCAGATTCTGACTCATAGTAACCCTGCATAGGGCTTCTGAGTAATGGCCGATGGGTTTGAACCACTGACTTTGTGGTTGGCAGTCCAGTGCTTATCCTAGAGTGTCACCCCATTTAATTTATTATCTTGCACATTTTCTTCCCAAACCAAATTCTTCTATGATATAAATCACAGGGGAGCTATGATAAAGAACTATTTGTGCTGGGTTGGGGAATGTCTGACCGGCGGGCCATGTAAGACCTATGAAATCATTTGGTCTGGCCCTGTCAAGGCAACCACAGTTCCAACCATCACATTTGTTGTTGTTGTTAAGCGCCGTCGAGTCGATTCCGACCCATAGCGACCCTGTGTAGAGTTTCCAAGGAGCAGCTGGTGAGCTTGAACCGCAGACCTTGCAGTTCACACAGCTTTGCAGTCTGGCTCATTAACCCACAGCGCCACACCAGGACTCCAACCATCATATTAGGGGAGAATTAATTAAATGTTTGACCAAATATAGCAAACTAATTTTTAAGATAATTTTGTATGGCCCATGAATGATGTTATAAATTTTGGCAGAAAAAAGGTTCCCTACCCCTGATCTATGAAAAGAAGGCCAATAAGGCATATGAAATTGGCACTTACCACAATTAATTTCCCATTTTCCAGTTTTCGTGTTATTGTGCTCTCCTTCCCATCCCACTCCTGTTGTTGAACCAAAGCACCATCTGTAAAGTTGCAGACAGTCTGCAAAAATAAAGCACACTTTTTAATTCTTCCAAAGTACATTGCAAAAAAAAATGTCCCTGATTTATAACCTCCTTAACAGTCTCTTTCATCTTCTCCTTTCTGGGTCTGCTTTATTAACCCACACTGATCTTATTTGTATATAGTTTATGCTTTTCAATTCAAGCTCATTTTTTTCTCTCTCCTGTGCTCCATAAGCTAGATGTGGTGGTGTGCTGTGGAGTTGGTTCTGACTCAGCGACCCTGAGGGTTCCGAGGCTAGAAATCTTCACAGGAGCAAAAACTGCCTAATGGCTAGTAGTTTCGAACGGCTGACCTTGAGGTTAGCAGCCCAACTCATAACCACAACACAATCAGAGCTCCTTGCTCCATGTACAGAATAAATTGAGACATTTTCATTGAGTTCTTACTGTAAACAAATAGTAAGAATGTTATTAACACAGTCTGTCCTTCTAGAAGCTTCTATGATTTTACAACATATGTTAGAACTGACCTGAGTTTTTCTGCCATCAGCTGTAGTTTCTTCAAACTTTTCTCCCAGGTTACAAGAAAACTGTGTTGTTTTCAAAGTGCTTTCCGTTTTGATGGTGAGGGTTTTACCATCAGTAGTGATGATACAATCAGGTTTGGCCATTGCACCCATTTTTCGCAGAGCCATGCCCACTCCTGTAGGATGTTACATAGCATGTTAAATACCAGGGAGAATAAAGTTACAGTTAATGTAATAAAAGCAGTCATCCAATTATAATTCTTATGCATGGCATTATTTTCATTTATTCACTTTAACAGTTACTATTGAAAACATATATACCCAGGGCTCCCTAGCGGACAACACTTTACATAATTTAATTAATGTAAGAATAGCAACACCCCTGTAAGGTAAACACCACTATCTCTGCTAGGAGGCTAAAGTAACTTGCCCAAGGCCATTCAGTTTGGAAGGAAATAAAGGAACTGGGAATCAAGTAGTATAGGCACTCTGGCTCCAGCCCCTAGATTTTGGTCTTTATGCTAAATTTGGAAAGAAATAACAGATTTCTTAAATTTATTTACGCAAAGCCGTAGGGATGAAGCATTCAAAACGACAAATTCATGGGCATGCTCAGTCTTTTTCTAAAATTGTATGCTAGAACTAGAGCACATAACCTGGAACATACAAGGTGCTTGATACATATTTGATAAATGAGCCATATAAAATAGAAATAAATTGTGAAATATTCACATAGCTAAATGTTTTAAAAATTGATAACAAAACTACGGTAGTAATAAATTAAAAAACACACAACACTTTTACCATCAAAAATAGAAAATATTTTATAGCTATGTAATTTACTTTATTGATAGAATATTTCCTTTATAATCTGTATAATTACCCTTAGCAATAACACTTGGAAGGAACCCTGGAATGAGGCCACTTCCCATTTCACTACTGAGAAAACTACAAGTGAGCAAAGTAACTGACTTGGAGACAATTAACTTCTAAGACTTTGAAACTATTCCTTAGAACCTTCTCTTTGGCCATCTCAGGGTTGGTGCCTGGTGATAGTTGATTATTATTTAGTCTCACTGTGGACAAACAAATGGGCTCTGTTCTTCCTGCCTCTCAATAAACAGGTTTGGTAACCTTTGTGGCTCCAGGATCCTAGGAAAATGGAAACCCACCCCTAAACTCACATTTACTTTCAATGGATAGAGAAACAGGGTTCTTTATTTGGATCTAACAACCATGCATACATACACATGATGTATTTCTTAGAATCAAAATACGATCAATTTTTTTTGTGGACATCTTGATCTGTTTTCAATTTTAAAAAAAGTTTTTTTAAACTACCTTTTGTTTTGCCAAGTGTATGTAAAGTATCCTTAAGATTCAACACCACATCGTCTTGAATAACAAGATTAATGATAGTGTTTCTAAGGTACATCAGCTCCTGCACCAGAAAGCAGTCATATTAACAATTGTATAAATCAGTAACATCTAGAAACACCTTCAGTCTCAGCAGTCTAGGGCTGGAAGATCAATTCTAGATGGGCTCTATGCCATGCTACTTCACCCTATTTCCTAGTGGCCCGTGACAAAGGTTCAGTTTTGTTTGTCATCTACTAAATATCTCAACCAGCATTCACTGTTGTCACTGAACAATAATAGAAAATCAAACACTATCCTGAGAGCAAGAGATTCTTTCTCTCCAGGAGACAAGTGTTTCAGGCAGGGCCACGCCCAGCTTGCATGCTGTTAATTGTGTAAACCGTTTACTTCGATATCTTTTATTTTATTAAATTGCAAGAGGTTCCAGATTTTCCAACAAAGCACTGCGCCTCTCTCAAAATGCAGAGGCCAGGGTAGTGCAGACTACCCAAACCCAGGCACAGTGGACCTACTACAAGAGTCCCACAGCCACCGCCCTCTGCAGAGCCAGGGCCCAGCGGGAACAAGGGAGGGTCAGCTCTGCCTGTGCTACACCTCTCAGCACAGCACCTCCGCCAGGAGGCGAGGATGCGCCATCCACGCGGAGCTATGCCAACCTAAAAGGCCTTTTTCACCTAGTGAAGGAGGGCAGTGGACCTGGGGGAGCCGGTCAAAGCAAAATGGAAATTGAAGACTCATTCAGAGACTCAACAGAGGTTCTGAGGGAAACCACAGACCCTCTCCGGAGCTTTGGCACCACATCCCCATGGAGAAGAGGGAGGGAATTCCGGCGCCATCGAGGAACAAAAGATGCAGCAGTCTAGGCCGGGGGTGTGATAGAAGTGGCTGCTTCCACAATGGAGCGAATGGAGGAATACGGCGGAGGGGATGGAGAACGAGGAATGGGAAAGGCAAAGTTGAGAGGGCTGCCTGGAGAAGGTCAAAAAAGTGAAATTTGGGGTGCGAATTAAGTGTGCTAAAAGACAGAATGCAGTGCTGGCAGGCTGCAGTGGAGGGTAGGGGAAAAGTAAAAGGGAAGAAAAGGGTTAGGGGGACCACGAGGCGGATCATCTCCGGAATTCTGGGGCCGGCGGAAGGCGCGCACCCACTTTCCTGGCTGCTTTCGCACATGGTGCAGAGAGCACTCACTTAGGGGCCGCGTGGTGAGGCTGGAGTCGGGGATACAGCCTGGGAAGGCAGATCGGGCGGACGGACAGATGAACCCACACATGCCACGTTGCCGGGCCGAGTGTCTCACCTATTTCCTTCATGTATTCATCAAAGCCTTTGCTGTCTACCAGACGCCATCTTCCTACCAGCTGCTGAACGGTAGCCATGGTGGGCGCCGACAGGCGGATGTGCTGAGCGGTCTGAGAGTGTCTGGCGGGAGAGCTTGGCGTGCGGTGGCCTGGCGCCTCGGCCGCTTTATAAAGGCGGAGCGCGCCGGGAGAAGCGGGGCAGCCAATGGGAGGCGAGCCTCGCCCGGCCCCCGCCCCGCCCCCGGCGCGCCCCCGGCTTCCCCACCCAGATCCCGGAGATGCGAACCTGCTCCACCTGCCCCAGGACCAGGGGCTCCGAGGGCGCCACTACAAGCGGGGACTCGCCCGGCACGCCCCACGCCTCCCCGGACGCCAGCTCCTGCACGTTCTGGCGGTTC